CCATGTGTTTGGGCAGCTCCTAGTCTGTTGTCAAGAGGCAGCTCTTGCACTGTCTCCAGACACGACTTGCTGATCCTGCCTCCAGGTGCAGTTGGCAGCCCTCTCCTGTGTTCCCGTAAATTCCCAATTCACTTCTCACCCATTTCGGTTTACCCTCCCTGACCTGACTGTGTCCTCCAGGGCTGCAGGACAGAGACTGTGTTGCTCTGGCTTTCTGTTGTACCCCAGACTTTTTCATTGCCTGACACATAGTAGGCCCTTGGTAAATACTTGACTGTCTGTCCCAATGACTCAAGATGAAGTGCCAACCTCTTAGCATGGTATGTAAGGCTTTTTTTTTTAGATTTTTACCATAGGGTATGTGCACCCACCAGAGAGAGACAGAGAAAGTCAGAAATCATCCCCTGGGGAGATCCAGGAGATCCATGTCTTAACCACCTGCTGGCCCCCTTTTCACGACACCTGGCTTTTAAATTGAACTGGGAATCAAGCCTGAGCCTCCCATGTCACCCTGGCCTATGGAGCACAGTGTCCTAGCAGTGTGTGCCACCATGCCTGGGCCTATAGGGCCTTTTTAAATCTGGCCCCTGCCTATCTTGCCAGCTTTATCTCTTGCCACCTCACACCACCCACCCTGGACTTTCTCTGTTCTTGCCCTCTAAGTTATGGTATTTCCCTGAAGTCTCTCTGTGCCTTTCTGTTCCTTCTCCCCTTTCTGATGGGCTCTTCCTCCCCTTTTACTTTTCAGGCCCGGGTCAAAATAAATTTCCTCTCTGGAATGTGCCTGCCTTCCCTCTGTGCTCCTACAGCACACTCCTCGGGCCCCAGGCTTTGTCTTTTGTGGACTTTTTTCTTACCGCATTAGACGTGAGCTTCTTGGGGGCACGGACCCATGTCCCTTTCATCCTCTTGTGAGCCCGAGATCCCTTTAGCTCCTCACTTTGCGCAGGATCAAGTCTAGGGCCTTTGATGTGCCACGGGCAGCCCTTTGCAGTCTGTCTTCAGACTGTCTTCCTTCTGCCGCCATCTGTGCACCCCACACTGCAGCCACGCTCGGCAGCTTGTGCTTTCCTCAGCACGTTCCAGTTTGGGCTGACCACACGTATTCTATTTACTAGCTTCTTTCTTCTGTGACATGCCATTTGTTGGCAGGGGCTCTGTTTTCTTCAGGATAACATATTCTTTTTATCAGATTTTTAAAGATGTATATAATATTTCAGGCATATGCACAAAAATAGAGTAATATAGCAATCCCATGTGTTACAAAGGGACTTTTTTTTTTTTGAGAGGTTTTTCGCTATAGGGTGCGTGCGCTCGCCAGACAGACAGAGAGACAGAGAGACAGAGAGACAGAAAGTGAGAAATCACCCCCCAGGGGGGATGGTCACGCTGCAATCCCTTCTCCTCCATTCTCCTCTCGGGATCTTGGGCATGCATGCACACGCTCCCGGCGTGAGTTTTAAGCCACCAGGTCCGGGACGTGAACCGCGGTTGACTACGTGGGAGTCCAGTGACATAGCCATTACGCTAACTGCTGGTTCCCACAAAAGGACTTTTTATGCACACACACACACAGTGCCAGTGTAGTCACAGCAGAGCTGATCCCTATTTCTTCCCGTCTAATACCTATTTCTTCCCTCCTTTATCAGAAAATAGTGACTATTCTACATATAGGGTTTATCATTTCCATATATATTTTACATTATGACTTCATATTTTATCTGTAAAAGATATGACATTGGGATCAGCAGATGGTGTAATGGTTACGTCTCTGGACTCCCACATAGTCAACCGCAGTTCGAGTCCTGGACCTGGTGACTCAAACTCACGCAGGGCATGTGTGCATGTGTGCCCAAGATCCAAGGAGGAGAATAGAGGAGAAGTGATTGCGGCATGACCATCCCCTGGTGAGGGGCATGATTTCTCTCTTTCTGTCTCACTTTCTCTCTCTGTCTTGCAGGTGAGAGCATGCGCCCTGTAGTAAAAACCTCTCTTAAAAACATGTCATATTGTTTTGCATATTGAAATATGCAAACTCTCATTACATAAATAATATCACCTTGTTCACATTCTACAAGGATCCTTGTTACTTTTTACTCAACATTGTTTTTGAGACTTATCTGTATCAAAATATATATAGCTTTCGATCATTTTATGTTTTTAAGAATTATTTAATTTTGTTCATTTTTTAAAACTTTTTATACATTCAGTTATTGTATATCATTATAGCATGCAAAATGAATTTCCTCAGCATGAATACATGTTTATTAGTCCAATTAAAAATTATTATAAACAGGGGCCAGTAGGTGGTGTGGTGGTTAAGGACGCTGAATTCCCACATGGCTGATTATGGTTTGAGTCCCAGACCTGGTGACTTGCTTTCTCCTTTCTCTTTATCTCTCTATCTCTCTCTGGTAAAATAATAATAACAACAACAACTAGAATTAAGTAAATAATCATTTTTAAAAAGATTATCACAAATGTCATCAACAGATAATTTTTCATTTTTGTGTCCCTTAAATATCTTGCTTCTTCTTTTTCCTCATGATCACTATTTTTTTTAATTTGACCAAAGAGAGTGAGAAAGTGAGATAGCAAGCCACCGGGTCTGGACTTGAACCTCTGTCTCTGCAGGTTCTACATCTCTTGGCTGATCTGACTATAGATCAAAACTCCTAAGGGAAAGATTGGCCCCTTAGTCCAGTTTTAAAGCCCATTGGTTAAGTTTTGTGTGGAAGAAGCCAAATCCCTTATAGCCAACCACGGTTTGAATTCTGGTTCTAGTGCCTTGAAAACAGGTTAAGCTTATGTGTGCAAGCATATGCCCAGGATCCTGATAGGAAGGAAGAATGGGGGAAGATTGTAGCATGACGAAACCCCATTGACGGGATTTTCCCTCTCTCTCTCAAATGAAGACCCAGAAAAAAAAAAAATTGGAGAAAGAAAAATGCATATACCCTGATAGATCAAGTCCTGTTTCCTACTTACTTAAATTTAAA